CACTAAGCGCTGATGCATCGAATGATCAGGCTCCAAATTATTCTGCAACAAGAAAACTTTTTTAAAACCTAATTATACTCCATCATCCAGTATAAAATAAAAAGAAAACGAAATTCTCTATCAAACGAACGAAAGAAAGCTCATTTTTGTTTATGGTTTCTATAAGATATATTTGAATTTGCCAGATCATCGAAAATCTGTGAGAAAAATGCAGGCTACTTAAGTAGTCATTTTTTACCGAGTACGGTTTCTACAGGAGATTGAAAAGCAGTGTACTCAAAAGCTGACGTTCTACCGAGTCCGAAATATTATAGGATTATGCCGCAAGATAATCAGTATTACAACCGCACCTAAGTAATCCTTCCGAATCGAAAACGCATTTCAGAATTTCAGCCAACATTTCATGAGAACGGTCGCTTACTGTAAATAGAGCATATTGGTCAAGCAGGAGTGGTTTAGTTGAAAACTTCATTGGATACAGCCAAGGACGTCTTTTTTCACGGAACTACATTGTACCTTTTCGCTGATCCTATAATTTCGCCACTCAATATTCCCGTTTCCGACGTGGATATAATACGTAGCCGGGGTCAGCAACAGGTAACCCGAGGATCCTGTCTTACGGGGATGGTGGTAGTAGGGATGATACAAATGGAGCCATCGGACGCATGCAAAAACATTCGGTGAAAGTAAGATGAAAAAAGAATAAGGTTTCATCGTGAATCTTCTAACGTACCTGGAAAACAAACGACAGATAAGCGCACAATTTCAAAAAACGGCAGTCAGCGAATTTCGGGCTAACTATCGAAGGTCAGATTCCAAGGGAATACTCAGACAATGGTAATTGGTGCGGGCACTGATCGTTAGTGCAGATATCGCGGGTCGTGGCGAGTAAAGTGAAGGAAATAAAGTTACAGGAAGTTACGCAAATGCAAAACAAGGAGCAAGAACGAAGTCAAACAAGGCATGCCAGATAGCGATAAGAAAGAAAATAAGGGACAAGTCAAGTCTACTAAAGAGGCATGGCTTACGTCTAGATGATAGTTGTATGTACTGAAAGCAAGCCATGGTATGCAACGAAGATCTCTGTGCGAATAAAAATGCAGAAGCTTAATGTAGAAGCACAGAAAAACATTTTGCCCGTGTAGATGTAAGCATAGATATATGTAAACAGTAAGTAATCTGAATAGAAGTTACTAGCGACAAACCGTGAATTAGTTCCTTCCTTTAGACGCAGACCCCAGAAGGATGTACGACGGAAAGTAAAGAGGAAACGGGGCTACTGGTCTGCAATAAGTTGGTTCAGTATTGCCGAGAAAAAGAACTGCTACTAAAAAAATCGGAGTGTAAATGTCGGTGGAGGATGTGACAGCAAGTCCCCAAGCGGCACTTCACTTTTCTCAGATTACCGAACCGGATCTCTTACGTTTGCTAACCTAGTTTCGTCTTTAGATGAAACCGTTGCGTGAATAGGAAAGCATTGCGAACGGGCTCAGTATTTGAAGACAGCCGTCTAACGATGAACATGTTGAAAACCTGTATGCCATTCATAACAGGAGCCAGAGTGGAGCAATACCAAGTTGGAATGGGAGTCTGACATGCAACAACAGTGGGATGGTACACCATATGCCGAAATGTGTGTTCCACAACCTTCCTTAGCCAAACCAGGCAGATTGGCGGCCTGGAAATGGAAGTGTAGATTGATTAAACTCTGATGGGCCGTCGTAAGTACAATGTTGGTAGGCAAAAAAGATACTTCTGACTGCTCGGAATGTATGATGTGAAGCAGAAGAAAGAATTGTTCGAGCATGTCAACAACATAACCTGACAAGCCCTCAGGCCGGATATAACGAAGTGGGAGGATTGTGACGGACAAATGGGGAGCCTATTCACGACTGCCGTCTGAGAGCTATAAGGGTTACACCGTAAGCCGCAGCAGGAATTTTGTGGATCCTACTACAGCCAGGCATAAGATCAAAAGGAAGACGTATTGTAACCTCCTGAAAAGGAGATTACATGAGTGAGGTTCGGTTTCAGGACAAGCGGTCTTGGCCCACATTGACAATGATACAATATCATCTATGGTTTGGACTAAACATTGCCGGTCTAAAAGAAGCGTGGGAAACCTTCCTATCCCACACAGCGGAAGTGTACCCCGTGCAGCAGCCGGAGGGTGAAAAAGCGGATGGGAGTGGCGCGCAGCAGGCGACTTTCTCAGTCGTAAGAATTTGCATGTTTACAAAACGATTTCAACAGCTCTGCCTCTGATATGTTAAAGAGGCGAACTTGAACCTAACTGACGAATATGCAGGAGGTAGTTATGAAGGACTGTTTTCAGAGGGTAAAGGCTACTTGGATCCGACAACTAGGTCGGCAGTGGAATGCGGATAAATGGGCGTCGCGGGGATGCCGTCGACTGCGCGAGAGCTTTTCGCCTTACATCTAATACGTTCCGGTTAAGGAGCAGTATAATGAATTTATACAGACATTTCTGCGACACCTGATTCTCGGAGGCTCTGACTGCAAGTAGATGTGCAGAAGCCGATATTTTTGTAGGGCAGGACGAAGCTAAAGCTTAACTGGTAAACGTGTAAAATCTTAATAGAACAGCGCCTACTTAAATAAATGCAGAAGCGAGTCTTGCGTATTAAACATAATCCGGCTATAAACCAGATTCTTACCCAGTTTCCAGCCAATTTTCCGCAATGGAAACCGATACCTGACTGCTTGTCCGCTGTACACATTGCAAGCACATCCAGTATCTGCAAAAAATGCTGTGCATTCGTTTTGAGAGACAACGATTTTGCCTGTATGGAATTTAGGACGATACTTAAATCACTGTTGTTGGATATTCTGTTTGGGCTAGCCAGTCCGCTGTCAAGTTTCGAGTCTACAGCTGGTTGACTGATACACGCCGGTGTGCTTATTGTTATTTTCACCTGCTGCTTCCACAAAAACGAACGTCCTTTTTTCATAATTTGCGCGTCTGTTACTCACTGATGTGATCTGACGCCTCTTGTTAACAGCAGCCTTTCTCATCTGATCATATGGAAAGCGTATCGGCTAAAAAATTCTGTAGTGGCCGTTTCGTGGGCTGGATCACCGAGGAAAGATGACATCTGCCTACTACCTACTTATCGAGGATAATTCAGTGTCCTCTATCTTCCTTGTCTGAAATATCCGTAAGTAAATGACAAAACAAAGTATCTTTTGAATTTTAGCTATCTCATTGGGTTGCTGGGTATCACTCATTAGATTCTGCAACGTCTGGAGATATTGTTTTTAGCTGATTTATTAAAAGTGTTAGTTTATTTTCGCACATAATTTGTGCCCACATAAACAGTCTTGTCAACGAGTCTGAGAATTCATGTTTCACTATGCGTCTAACTTGCGTTCGTTAAGTCGTACCACACTGTTTTTTCCCCTTACTGTTATTAATTTACTGTCGTACACTTACTGTTGTAAATTACCCATTTGATCACCTGAGAGTGAGGGATAATCCGGTCTAGATGATCAGAATGCACCCTCCTGATTGCGCTATTTCTTTGGCTGTGCCGAACCTGTCTTGTCGAGGAGGGATATCAAAAGAGAATCCTGCTAGGAATGGCACTCCTCCGTTTCTCCCGGCCTCAGTCTGACGCAGAAGAAGTTAAGTAACTTAAAAATGTCGACCTGCAAATCAAATCTATAGTCCCTATCGTTTCTTTGAGAGAGCCGTTTCCGACATCCTCTGCGGTACAATAATCTCATATTCTAGTTTACTCTGCAGAGAACTCAACTGCGGTCGATCTTGTCGAAATCAACTTAACAACAGGCCTTTTACACTCGTATTCTTACCCACTCCATCAGCAATTCCAGGTAGGCCAGAGCAGATGCTTAGGCAAAGACAGGTCTGAGTGCCGTTTCTGCCGCTAGAAAATAGAAGAAGTCCAGTTTTTCTAAGAAAACTCTCCCCCCACGATAACCCACCACACCCGCAAATACAACGAATATCCAGTTATAGCCAAACCCTATAGCGAAGCGACTAAATGAAGTATGCCCACATTCCCGTCTAGGAATGGCGTTCCCACTCACTTCGGAACAGCGTGCTCTTCACCTTCCAGCTGCGTTCCCTTCAAGCCGCGTTACCGGTAACCTCCTAGCAAAGACACTTTTCTTGGGCTGGTATACTCATCTGGTTCTTGGTGCTACCTTTATTGAATCATGTTGCATACTTTTGCCTATGGGTTTCCTGTGCAGATTTATCCAAACTGCAGTAATACTCTGTTTCCCTCTTCATCACTTTTCCGGCAAATCCTGCATCTAGATAACATGATATGCCATAAGTGACAGCATAATTACTTGCTAAAATCACGGACACTTATTTTGCCGATATTCTGCCGCTGCATAACACGGCTGCGAGTGGTTCAACTCATCAGTCAGCCTCCCAGCGTTTCCTGCGTGACCCCTGGTAGACACATTAGTTTCGAAACTACAGCTATTTAATTTCCTCACAAATTCACCGCTAACTTTGAGAAAGTCAGTCTATTTGAGGCTTAGAACCCTCTGCTAGTACTTCTATTATCAAGCATGGTATGTCGTGTTGCATATGGAAATACTACTGGCTGCTTGTTGGCACTTTGCGAATATTACACGGTTATTCCACTGTGGTTGATAGACTTCAGCCTAAATATTCATATCGAATTTCAGTTCGAGCCTATAAATGTCAAATGGACTGATGTATTCTACGTCTGGGAAAATTAAAATGCCGTGACTTTTCTCCTTCATGCTGACACTGAACATTTTCGATGACACGGGATTTTTACAGAACCAGATAGGATCATTGAATCTTTATTTTCCGTGAACAATTAACAACTCGGACTCGGACCGCCAAGCCACCGCCGCATCAATTACGACCCCAGCGGCGATTGTGAGAACTGTTAATTGCAGTGCGCATACGGTCCCACGGCAGCCACGTGCTATAAATACTGCATTCCTGGTGCCACCTTTACCTCTATCTGCGAATGTCTCTGATGATGGGCTCGAGTGAGAACCCGAAACGTCAGGCCAATAAACTTCTTGTCCCTGTGATCGCATCTTCATCTTCTGAACTGCTACCTGGGACTCGCCTGTTCGCTTCTATCAGCAACCTTTTTGGGCGCGAAGCGCTCCGATCGGCTCGACGGTGGGAAACCTTTGCCCTTCGAGAGTCGTCAACATATGCGCAGATTCGATTTCTGCACAGGTGTCTCGACAACAATGTGCTGCCGAAGTGCGTTTCATACAAACCTCCGGTCAACACAGAGCTGGCGAGACGCGCAGTACTTCAGCACGGCCGACGAATGATCCGAGTGCTCCTTCAAGACTGTCACTCACGGATTCGCAAATACCGTCAGAGGATTGACCAAGAGAAGGCAAGGTGCTGCGAGTTCATGGGCGAGGACGGCATAAAACTGCTTCAGCAGAGGCTGGCCGAACGAACCCGCGAACATAAAGCAACGCGAGAAGCAGCCCTAGAGAGCAAATTTCGTAAGCTGCCTGCTCCAATGTCATCCAAGAACGACAAACTGGTGCACAACTTGTCGTCAAAGGAGCTGACGGAGGAACAAATGCAGGTTTTACGGCATGAGGCCTCATTCAACACAGCCGATGCCAAACCTGCCAACATGATCGCAGCAGTGGAATCAATCCTCAGCCAGACGGGAGCGACAGACGAAACGAAGAACCTCATTCGACACCAAGTGTCCTCCCTCCNTCGGACCGCCAAGCCACCGCCGCATCAATTACGACCCCAGCGGCGATTGTGAGAACTGTTAATTGCAGTGCGCATACGGTCCCACGGCAGCCACGTGCTATAAATACTGCATTCCTGGTGCCACCTTTACCTCTATCTGCAATGTCTCTGATGATGGGCTCGAGTGAGAACCCGAAACGTCAGGCCAATAAACTTCTTGTCCCAGTGATCGCATCTTCATCTTCTTTCCGTGAACAGTTATTTGTTAGAGGATTTGGCTTCCTCCCCCCCTCCCCCCCCCAGAAACAAGCAGTTCGTCTCCACAAAATTTTCGGTTCAAATTCAAGGCCCTTGGCGATAAGGATTCTCTCGTCCCATACTCTGCTGTCTGCCATCTGTCCAGAACGCGTACTTAAAACGGAGGCACGAACAACCACTTCTGTAGCTGACTGCAAACTCTTTCCCGTAGGCTACACTTACGTTAGAAATGAACTTTAAAAGTCGTGCTAGGATAACTTGCATTTATGTGAAACGAGCACTCACACTTTTGCCCTAGGACCTCCACATCTTTAAGAGTCAAAAGGTAAATGCTGGCTTCGAGTTGCAGTAAACAATAAGTGGTCTTTACCCGTTTGCTAATGACTAAAATCTCCCTGAAGCCTGCTGGTTTCCACTTTCTGACCCTAAATTTTTTGAGGCGTTACTTGAAACTATGGACGCCGGTGTGTGAAATGAGGTTGTCGATTTTCTTAATCGAGGTTCAAGCATGCTTGGTCTAGTTTTCGGTGTAGGCTGCCTGCCTTTGTCTGTGTCATCTTGAGGTCCACGCGGGGGTTTTGACCAAGGCGCACTTTTTTCAAAATAAGAAACCAAAGTTGGTGGCATTTGTTTTTCAAAATTATGGTCTTTTCTCCGTTTTCCGATCAACCCGCTCGGAAGATTTACTAGCCCGCCTTAATTCTCACGACCGAACTGATTTCTTCATATGTCCGGATATGAATACGCGTACTACTAAACGTTACGAGGTTTTGAACCCACTTTCTCTCGATCTGTCGCTCGTAAGGAAATAATTAACATCATCGATGACGCTTTCCTTCCTCTATCTTTTCGCTGTAGGCTGCGTAGGTCGTCCAAAGTGATCACCTTTTTTGAGTACCACTCGTTAAATGCCGCAACACTTTTTCCTCTCATAAGTATATCTCACAGATAAACGCAGCATCCCGTCCTTCGAGGCGTCCTTGGAAGTCACGTGACAGGACACCCAGATGGCACCTAGTAGTTTCAATGCCTTCTTGCTCAAAACACATTCAGAATGTGACTGCTTCGCATCTGAACCCCGAGGTTCGAACCAGTGTCATTCTCGGAATTAAAATTGTGCCCCATGGGACGTAACCCTAGCGATTTAACGTTTTTGACGATTTCATATTTCAGGCCCAGGTAATGTTCGCGTCAGAATTTTACAGGCTGGCATAGGTGAGCCTTTACCAGCATTCCTGTGTGAGCTATTTAATCTCACTCTCGAATGTGAAACCATTCTCTATTCGTGGAAGTAATTCCACATTTGGCTTCTCATTAAACACAACCGTTCTACCTCATCTGGCGACTTTCAGCCGGTAGTCAGCCTCCTAACGGCCTTGAAGGTCCTAAAAACCTTTATTAAATATAAAATAATGAGTCACTTGACTGAAAATAACCTATTGAGTGATGCTAAACATGTATTCCAAAGCGCTCTGTCATCTGACACTTGCCAAGTCTCCTTCGGTAGTTACGTTATACAGTCTAGGGACAATGGTTTCGTCACTTACACAGTCCATTCCGATTTCAATAGAGCTCTTTACCGTGTTGACCATTGTCCTCTTATTTTAGGGCTTCGCTCCTTCGGAGTAGGTGCTGAGCCTCAAAATTTCCCTTATTCTTATCTGGGCTCTCGCGCATGGTCCATTAATATTTACAGTGTTCTCTCTCACCCCACATACGAGAGGAGCGGGATAACTTGGGGCAGTGTGTTTGGCTCGCTTCTTTTTGTCAAGGATATATCAAATTTAGTTAGGAATACTGGACCTCTTATGTGTGTCGAGGATTCGTTACTTACCTACCGATACAAATCGGCTAATAGCGACAGTATGCTCGAACTTTTAAAGGACGACCTTTAGGCTTTTGCCCAGTGGTGCTGAGCAGGACGCTTCTCGATTTCTTGACGTGAAATGCCGTAAATGGACATAGACAGATCGAGTGTTTGGTCAGACAAGCGGTTTCTCAAGTTTAATGTATGCAACCTCGTGGTCTCACATTTTCGCCGGTCGAGAGTTGTCTTCAAAATACCAAAATTTTATTAGGGGCACTACACTGAAATACGTGAAAACCCACAAAATCTGGGCATGTTAGCCACTGCGAACTTAGTATCATCGGAACACTGTATGGGGTGGTCCAGCGGGCAACTAGCATGCTGCGTTGGATGACAAGTGCGGGTAACAACAACGCTGAGTTATTGTTATTCTATATTGTTACTTAACCATTTTAAGTAGGACACGCTGTTAGAGCTAGAGTTTGGTTTAGGGTTAGAGTTGGACTTGGGCTTCCGCTTACCTCCAGGGTTAGGGCTTGGGTATAAGATAAGGGCTGTATTAAGAGCTAGAGTTACAGTTAAGTTTGTAATTATAGTTAGTCTTGGACTTATATTTAGGTTAAAGGTTCAAGCTTAGGTTTGCTTAAGTTCAGGGTTATGATTGGAATTAGGTTTAGCGCTAGAGTTAAAGCTAGGTTTCGGCCCACACTTAAGTCTGGGAATGAAGTGTAAGATTGGGGTTAGGTTAAGGGGTTAGACTTACAGTTAGGTTTAGGGTTAGATTTAAGTTAAAGGGTAGGTTCAGGCTTGGGGTTTTAGCTTAAACTAGGGCCCGAGCTAAGCTTATGTTCAGAGTTAGTTAAAGATTACGGTTAGGGTTAGGCTTAGTCTTAGAGTTACAATTAGGTTTAACGTAAGAGTTGGGCTCATTCATCCCCCCATACGAAATTCACTGTGTAAAATGGACAGTTTATCCAGTGCGCCACCCAAAGGTATGCCTATCCTCTGGCCTTTATGCACGTTAGGAGAAAGTATGCGAAAACATGACGCTAGTTCATCACTTACGTAAGTCAGAAATAAACGGTCAAATGCAGCATACAGGGAAATGATAGAAAAGCGTTTTTGAATGATTCATTGGGGGGATATGCTTGCTTCCAGTTGCGTTTGGATACGATGAGAATCTTGGGTAGAACTAACTTTGCTGACTTCTCCCAGGTCGGTAGGCTGGTATGGACTTCGGTTTAAGTGCATAGGCCCATGCTAGTGCACGAGGAAGGTTTCCTACGTGGCTGGCAGGCTATTAGCTTTTGCATTGAACCATAATCCTCACTGTGCTTCCACAACATGGGCCAAAACTGCCTGATCAGGTATCGGTTTGCGGTGTCGCAGTTTGCTTTTCAGTAGACTCCGGTAGCCTTCTATGGCGTTGGTGGGCTTGCTGGTGGTCGGGTCGACAAACGGCCTTGAGTGCTTAATAGTGGAATGCTCATAACATTCTGTCGGGAGACGACGGTATGCGTTCTACTTATCCACCACGATGCCTTGCTGCCAGTGCCTTTAGCCAACCATTTCTTTATGGCAGCGTTCAACGAGAGCCAACTCCTGTCATTCGTCTGCTCGAAGAGAACCCTTTCTTGTGATGCGTCATACATGTTTATTACCAAATTCTATCTTTTTAGTCGGCATGTATCGTTCTTCATATTCTTAACTGGCTTTCGTCAACTTGAACTTTAATTCCAAGACCTCCGAATAGTCTTACCTCCTTTAGCAATGCTATGAAGCTGACGCTGTGGCACATTATGACCATGATATTTGTGCATATATGTTTATATATTTGGAGAGTTAGAGGCAGAGCCCTTGATGACCCTATTTATGTAGAGTGCTTTCGTAGATTCGTACTCAAAATAAAATTGCAAGCATTCACGATGTAATCGGGTCACAGTACAATCGTAATTATAAGGAAGTGCACCAGGTCATTGTAAGTTAGTGCGGAGGGATTGCATATGACTTTGTTTTAAAGAACTGGTTGTGGGTAGTCATGTTTTAAAAGCCAATTTCTGTCAAAAATTAGGCGAGCACGTTTTCTTTTAAACATGCAAGTTGTGTGAGCCGTCATCATCTCGCTTGGAGGCGAGTTTCACGGTCGGACAACCCGCTGGCTGGATGAAAACTTTCTACGGTCTAACCGAGTGTGCTCACTGTGGACTTTGTAGGCATGACCGCGTAATTGGTTTGTACGGGCAAACTCAAAGAAGTCCTCCGTTCTTACTGAGCGACCTTGGCCGCGGAAAATCCGGGATGTCCAGAATAGTCTGCAATTTAGTTGTCTATAAGAGGGAGGGAATAAGCCAAGCACATTTAGCCTCTTCTGATAAGACAAATGCTTTAAATATAAATTTTACTTTAATGCCAGTTTACAGGCATTGTCAAGGGAAGCGATTAAACACAAATCCGACCAGCAGTGAAAAAAAACTCCTGAGCTTAAGGCATAAAAATATAGTTGATGGTGGTTTTTGTGGTTTGGAGGGCTCAGGAGAAAAAAACTGTCGGCGGTGGTAGAATATCGACCGTCAAGAAGGGGGGAGGTTGCACGGTATCGGAGATTATCGGACGTCAAATTCCTTTCATGAAGTTGGGGATAGTCAAAGTAGAGGCGTTGAGGAACAGCTGGTGAGACCGGCCATAGTGTTCAGAGACCACAAACGCCATCGCTACGGTACAGTCGATCAGTAGATTCAGCACCCAAAATTTGTGGGAGCTTTTCTGAATGCAAAAATCGAGTAATAGTTCTCTTAAATAAAGGAAAATTTTGCAGAGTTTTCACACTCATGGGTAGTTTATTCCAAATAGCAATTGCATTTACAGAAAAGAACCGACGATATTTAACAGTACGTGCCAGAGGCAGAAATAAGAAGACCTCACGGTGACTGTTACGTCGTGGGTGGATATGATGTCTTAAAGAGGTGAGCGGGTTAAATGTGTGATTATATAAGAGTTTAAATAGCAAA